CTCATGCCTTTTAGGTTTGTCGTCCGCATTTTGCTGAAAAGACACAAACAGAAATAAAATGACTTATTTTTTTCGGTGTGGGGAGATTAAGACCTCCCTTTCACTTCGAGTTAACGTCTCTTTAAGTCTATACACAGAAGCGGGACCAAGCCAAACCACAAGCAGTGTGCCATGCAGCACGTCTTTACACAAAGGGTGGTGGGGGTGGGGAACAGGCTGCCCAGCCATGTGTTTGAAGCTGACACCTTGGCTTCTCTCCAGACACAGCTGGATGAGCTCCTCCAGTCAGGACAGAAGACCTGTCTGTACATAAAGAGTGGTGGGGGTGTGGAACAAGCTGCTCAGCCATTTTGTTTTTAGGGCACAGCTGGGCAAGGTCCTTACCTACTGAAGCCCCCCATTGGCTGATAATCCGCAGGGCGTCACCTGAATGGGGCAGACACAAAACGAAAAAAACGTTGCCCACCCCCTCTGAGGAAGACGCAGAAGACGCAGACTGAGGAGAGGAGGGCAGACAGAGGAGGAGCCGTCAGCAGGATCAGCAGGCAGGGAAGCTGCAGGCCCGGGGGAAGCGGGGCGCCGGGTCGGGTCGCGTTGCCGGCTTCTCCTCGCCCTTCGCTCGGCGCCGCTGCCTCTGAGCAAGGAAAACAGTAAAATATGACCTGGCTTCGTCTTCATTAGCCGTCTCAACTCGTCTTTTAAATGAAATGTCTGTCCTCTTTTTAAAAAAAAACGCGCACAAATCCGCGTTGGAAATCGAAAACCTTCGGTCGCTCAAGCTAAAAAGATCAATGACGCCAGCGTCTGTGGTACTAATAGGAAATAAAAAAAAACATCGACTGTCGGGCGCAGGCATAGACGGTGGGCCTGTCTTCCCAATCAGAGACATCGACACCAGAGGGCTGCAGTGGAAACTACAGAGAAGAGTGTTGAAAACCGCTAACCCGAGGCTCTCCTTTACACGAAGGGTGGTGGGGGTGGGGAACAAGCTTCCCAGTCCATGTGGTTGAAACCGAAACCCCGGCTTCTCTCCAGGCACAGCTGGATGAGCTCCTCCAGTCAGCACAGGAGGCTCTTCTTTAAACAGAGGGGGGTGGGGGTGTGGAACAAGTTGCCCAGTCCATGCGGTTGAAGCCGATACTCTGGCTTCTCTCCAGACACAGCTGGGTGAGCTCCTTCTAGTTAGGACAGGAGGCGCTTCTTTACACAGAGGGTTGTAGGAGCGTGGAGCAAACCTCAGCTGGCTCTCAGCACCCTCTCCACCACGCAACGCTGTCCCCCCTTTCGATAAATAAGAGCTTTTCTCACCCACGCAGACGAGCCTGGCTCCTCTCCCGATGCGAAACCGCCCCTTGTCTCTGTCGGCGCAGTAGTAGAGGCCCTGGTCTGCCGGGGTGACCCGCTCGATGGTCAGGCTGGCGGCGCGGTCGGCCGAGGCGCTCGGCGCCAGCGCGTACCGCGGGTCCCGCCTCTCGACGTAGTGGAAGCCCTGG